AAAAAAAAAAAAAAAAAAAAGATCTATACAGATAATTTTTAACTCTGAAAACATGTATTATAAATCTTACTTTTTAGCCTATTTTTTCTTCTTAATAGTATTCAAAGGTATTTCTAAATAAAGAGAAACATTATTTTTAATTATTACATACTATTTGCATGTAAAGATAAATCTATACATAAGATAATTTAAACTATCTCTAATGATAGCTATTTTGGTGGGAATAGGCACAGAAAATGCCAAAATGTCTTCCAGCACAGTGAAACCTAATAATCTCCTGTGAAGTAAAGCCACCTACCCATTAGCCAAACAAGAAGAAAGGAAAGACTGGGCCAGCTGTGTTGGGAGACCCCAATGTCAAGGCAACCAAAGAATTAAACCAGTGGACTGGCAGCAACCTTGCAAAAGACACACACATAAAAAAACGCTGGCAGGCCTGAAGGGTAAAGAGGAAAACACAGCTTCTGCTGCTCATCAGGAGGGCCTACCTGAGGCTGGTTATTTTCAAAGCTGACTTGTAAGTTGATATTGACAAGACTGTGGGACATGTGGGAAAGACAGAGGACAACTTTTGGGAATCAGCCCTCTTCTTCCACCATGTGAGACCTGGGAACCGAACTCAGGTCATCATGTTGGCTGTGAGCACCTTTACCCACAGAGCAATGCTGCCAGCTCTGTTCCTGCTTTTTAAACAGTGAGAAAGTCCTGTTACCAGGAACCGGGATGCAAACTGTTAAGGCCTTCCCGGACTAGTATTCTTCCCAGCACATGGTGGAGCTGCAGATCCACGCCGTGCGACTTTCTAAAGGCAGGCTTATTCTAGAAGATAAAGCAAATGCTTCAGAGTGCCTCTCTTGCTCCTGCCCCTTGCAAAGTCCTGGAAGGGATCCCAGCAATGCACTCACATGGCTGTGCTTTCGCAAAGCCTATGAAACCGAGCTATTTCAACTGCAATCTGCTCAAACCACCTCCTCCTTCTACTCCAAAGTCTGCTCCGTGTGGCAAACGATAAGGAAACAGCAACGGAGACAGTCAAGGGGTTCAACTAGCTGAAAGTTGAGTGAAGGCTGAATTAATTATATTTGGGGCTAGCTGTCTTTCCCACAAATGGTTAAACTCCTATAGCCTTACCAGTGTAAGAATCGCTTCTGAGACACCCTACATTCACTACACTGATGGAACTGACTCTCTACCAGAGGGACGGGCCCTCAAAGCTGTCAGATAAATGTGTCCTACACGCCAACTGGAAGCATATGGGTAGTGGAGGAGAAATGGGATTTGAACCCTATGGTGCCATCACGTTGTCTTGGAAATTCTTCCGGTCATCCCACACATCAGGCTGTGATGGGAACTTGAGAAATGGAGTCTCTTGTCTAGGGGATCTACTAACAATGCAGTTTACAGCCCCGAGCCTGTTCGACAGCTTCCCTCCTTTGGGTGGGATCACTTTAGAGAACTCACTCCAAGGCTGAGGGCGCAATCCTAGAGCAGTGTCACAAGCTGCAAGCCTGTGGGGGAGGGGGATGCACATCGCCACCTGTCAGGCTGCACCCTGGAGAATTCCACAGGGTTTCTCTGTGTAGCCCCGGCTGGCCTCAAACTCAGAGAGCTGCCTGCCTCTGCCTGGGATTAAAGGTGTGCACCACCACTGCCCTGCTCGATTTCCACAAATTTTGAACTGACATTCCGACCAACAATCCCCAGTAAGATGGTATACAAGGCTACCTCCAACTCTCAAACATCCTGAAGAAATCAGTGTTCTGGAGACTCCAACATATGTTCATCAGTAAGTCAAACCCCCCTCCTCAAAGCACACAGTACAGACTCAAAGCAATAAGGAACTGAGGAAGAGAAGTGAGTGGGTTTACTTGTGCCAACAGTAAAAGACGCGCAGAGATGCCTAACAAAGCAACAGAGCTGAGTGAGGCAGAGCACTTGGGGGGGGGGGCTGCACTGAGTTCAAGGTCAGCCTCAGAACATAATTAGTCTGAGACCAACCTAGGCTACAAACAAACCAAAAAAAAAGCTAGGTGTAGTGGATGAGGAATAGGTAGAGACAAGATCTCAAAGTGGAAGCTAGCCTGGGCTACACCTGATTTTAAAGATCAATGAGGTAAAAATGCTTGCCTTGCAATCCTGACCTAAATTTGATTCCAGGACCCCATGGTGAAAGGAGAGAACAGAATCTCAAAAGCTGTCCTCTCACCTCCACACCCTGGTATTTGATTGACTACACTCATACACATAACACATATTCATATACATAATAGTAAATAAAATGCAACACATAGCATTAAGCATATAAGACACACAAAAATAAGGATGCTTGTATACTGATGCATTTATATTAAAGAGTGAAAACACACTTCTATGGAGTAGGCCTGACGGAGGGACAGGGAAATCAATCATTTCTGTGGTATATGAATATATGGAAAAGATATACACTTAGAATTCACACGTATATATTTATAATATATGCAAGTCAGAGAACTAATTATAAGTA